GGCCGCGAGCGTCGAGGTGGGCTCCGCGCGGCCCCTCGGTCGGCGGGTGCCCCGCCGTCGTCTCGTTCGGGGGGGGGGAGCAGGCCGCCGCAGCACGCGCGGCGATCTCGGGGCACTGGGCACGCGGCGCCTCCCGCGCCCCCCGCCGACCGGGGCAGGCTTGGCTCAAGACCTGGGGGGGCTTGCCCGCGGCGCCCGAGGCAGCTGGGGTGAACGAGATCGACGGCGCAGCCGGTGGCGGACGCGAGCGAGGACAGGACGGTTTCCAGGCCCGAGAGCGAGGAGGGAGGCGCGGCCGCTGCGGCAGCGAGGGGGGGCAACGGTGGACCGCGCTGTCATGCCCCCCCACCCAGACCAGCCTTCCAGTCCACCGCGGCCAGAGATCGTGGCGCTCCTGGGCCCCCTGGGCATGGGGCCGCTGACGACGCCGCCGTCGGAGGAGGAGGAGCGGCAGCCGTGGCGATGCGCACGGTGCTGTAGAGTGCTCCCAGGACGAGGAAGACATTTGTTGGTGCCGCGTGGCTTGGGACACGCAGGCAGGTGCTCGCCGCGCCAGGCAGGGACCTGAGGGTGGAGACGCAACGGATTTAGGAACGCGAGCTGTGAATCATCGGGGACTTCGAGGGCCACGTTGGTGAGTGGTTCAGAAGGCGCCTGGAAGTCTTCGGACGCAGGCCGGCTGCGAACTTCAGCAGGGAGGTCGCCAAGGAGTGCGGGCAGCTGCAGGGGATGGCGCTGCAACTCAGTGCACGGCGCGGGGAGCAGATGAGACCGCGAGCCCGCGGCGCGACGTCCGGCAGTGCGAGGCGGCAGGGTCGAGAGGCGAGCCTGGCGGAAGGGCCGCCCTCCGAGGGCGAGGGCGTGCCGGCGACGCAGACAGTACCTTGAGCCGCGCGCAGCTCGGCCCCGCGAGGAACGCGTCCTACGGGTCAGCCGCGGCTCGCGGGCGCCGCGCGCAGGGCGAGATCAGTGGGCCCGCGCCGGGAGGGGCGAGGGCCCCCCTCGGGCGCCGTGGCAGCGCCCAGGCCCAAACGAACGCGCGGACGCGGGCGGCCCTCTTCGCAGCTGCCGTGGAGGACGAGGCCCACTCGAGGCGGCGTCGCGCCTGGAACTGCTACCGCGCGAGGGGGGCCTGGAGGTGGATGACTTCGGCGAGTTGATGGAGGCGGGCTTCGACACAAAGCGCGGGATCCGCGCGGTGGCCGCGGACCTGAAGGAGCGCGTGTTCGAGGGGGCGACGCTGGCCACCAAGGGCGCCGCGAGTCGGCTGCCGAGGAGAGGGGGCGGCTGTTCCGTGGGGGGCAACCCCGTCCAGCGCGGCGGACGAGGCCGCGCGGACGGAGCGGGCGCAGCTGCAGCAGCGCCCCGGCAGGGGTGGCGGCCCGCGCGCAGGTCCGGAGACGGCGCCCGCCCACCGCGGTGTTGTCGCGGGGCTGGCTCAAACTTCCCCGCGCCTCGGGGGTGCCCTTTTCCTGGCCCCGCCTTTCCGCCCATGGGGACCCTGCGACCATTTCGGTGGGCGCGAGTCCTCTTGGTTGGAGTGGGGGTCGGGCCTGGGGTGCCCCGAAGGGCTGGGGGCCACCCTCCCGCGTGCCTTCAGCGCGGTCTTGAAACCCCGCCCGCGGGCGGTTCCCGCCACGGTGGAGGGCCCCCCCCTTTCTTTTGTGCGGCCCTCACCCTCCCGCCGCGGGCGGGGGCGGGGGTCCGAATGGGAGGGGGGCCTCGACTGCGGAAGGCCCTGGGGCTACGAGACCGCGCCTCTCGGCTGCGGGGCGCGTGCGAGCGGCGGACAGCGGGGGCGGTGTCGTAAAGTGGAGGGAAGAGGGGCGAGGTGAGACGGCGGTGGGGCGGGGGGCCCAGCATCCCCTTTCCTCTCGGCTCAGTCCTTTTCCCCTTTCGCCTTTAGTGATTACCTACTTGCATCGCAGAGAGGGGGCATCCAGTTCCTGGGGCTGGCAGGTGGGTGCCCTGCGTGCAGGGCCCCCGGCGCCGCCACCCATCAAAGGGGAATCGCCGTCACCTCATTCTTCCCCTTTGACCTCTATCGCGCCGCTACTGGGGTTCATCGTTGATGCGCCCCCTGTGTGCCGTTGCGAGTGCGTATCCTCGTCCTTGCCCGACGTGTGTGGCCATTTGGACTCAAGCGCTCGGCCGTTTCTGAATAAGCCATCCGCAACCACCCTGGGGCATCAACTTCCTGGGAGTGGCAGGTGCCCTGCGTACAGGGCCCCCGGCACGGCCACCGCCGCCACCTCACCCCCCCCCTTTTGCCGTTATCGCGTCGCTTCTAGGGCCCATCGAGGAGATTATAGGATGTTCGGCGCTGTGTGCTTGGCTCGGACGTGCGCCTTCCGCATAGTGCCTGCATCTCTTTCTGCGTCCCACGAGGTGTTGTGCGAGGCGGGCGACCGCTCCCCGGAGGGGAATCGCCTCATACTGATCGACCAGGGCGTCGTGGAGGCCTCCGTTCCCGGCGCCGGCGGCGCCCCGGTGGTCGGGCGACGAGAACGACACACGCCGATGTTTCGGGGGCGGCCAGGGGGGGTGATGAGTAGGGTAAAGTCGGTCGTGTCCCTTGTACAGAAGGAAGATTCAACGTATAGTCAAAGAAATACTCGTGTGACGTTTTTTTTTTTTTTTTTGGGGGGGGGGAGGAAGTTTCGTCCAAAATCCGCCTGTAAAGGGACACGCCCGACCTAAGACCAGGGGGGGCGAACATTCTGGCGGGGGGCATGATGTCTCCCTAGATTTCATGGCGCTTTTTTATTTCAATGCGTCCCCGCCCCCCCTTGGTCCGCTCACATGCCTCGGGCCATGATTGGCGCCCCCCCTTTTGGGACGCCCTCCTCTTTGGACGCCCGCGAATCCTGGCCAGGCCCATCGTGGACCGCTAGAGGAGCAGTGGGCTACATGAGCATAACATTTCTGAGGTATGTGCGAATTTCTCGGGTCGCCGCTGGTCCCCCTTCCGACTCCCCTGGCGGCGCCTCCGACGCTACCCTTGGCGACCGCCGCCCGCGGGGGAAGGCTATGTGTATATTGGCTTCTCCGTTCTTCTAATCCAGAATCGGTGTCCACTAGCATGAGCAGTACGTCGACCCTGCAGAATCAAGAGTGTCTTGTCCATCGCGTTTCATGCCCACCTCATGTCTGCAGCACGTGTTGCCTCGGAAGACATGTGTTCTCGCGGGTGTCCTCTGCACGCAGTCCCGACTGTATCTGCCTCGCCGTCCGAGCTATGACGGCGAACTGTCGAATTTGATTGAGCAGGGCACGGGAGAGGGCGTTTATCTTGTTCGAGGGCAGCACGGCCCCTAAATGCCATTGTCCCTGCTCCAGGACCCAGAGGGCATGAGGCGCGAAGCACACGGCACAATGGCACTCCTGATTTTTGCAGGATCGACCCATTGATGAACAATCTGACTGTATGCGCGGATCTCGTGCCCAAGCTGGGCCTAGCCCTGACTTGTGTCGTCCCAAACTCGGATGGCAGGGGGGCCTGGGATGACCCGTGCACGCGAGAGCAAGGCCGTGCACACTTCATGGCGCCCAGGCTGGGCCCGGCCTGGCCCCGGTCAGTCTCGGCGCACGGCTGGGAGGAGGGAGGAGGAGGGAGGAGGAGAGGAGGAGGAGGAGGAGGAGGAGGAGGAGGAGGAGGAGGAGGAGGAGGAGGAGGAGGAGGAGGAGGAGGAGGAGGAGGAGGAGGAGGAGGAGGGAGGAGGAGGAGGAGGAGGAGGAGGAGGAGGAGGAGGAGGAGGAGGAGGAGGGGAGGAGGAGGAGGGAGGAGGAGGAGGAGGAGGAGGAGGAGGAGGAGGAGGAGGAGGAGGGCGCAAGAAGGCGGGGACGTCTGCGCCGACGCTGGCGCGCAAGGCTGCCCCTCGTGAGCTCGGGCGTAAGCGCCCTCGTCTCCACTGTGGCGTGCCGCGCCGACGGCCCGCGTGAGCCACCACGCACACGCCGGTCGTTGAAAGTAGGTATCTTTGGATTCCCAGATCCCCAATCTACTCCAAGCGCCTTCCTACTTCAAGAGTCGACGCGCTCTTGCTGTGCTTTGTTGTTCTCTGGGAGGGCCCGGACCCAATCTACTATCTCCGCCTTCCTACTTCATGCTTTCTTCCTACTTCTTCCGACCGACGTGTAAGGTTGCCACGGCACCTCGCGCACGGCCCGTCTTCGACTCGCCGCCCAGGTGGTCGTCGGGCAGTTCGGGCCCGGCGCCGTGCTCGGCGGCCTCCGCGCCCTCGGGCTCACCTCGTGCCACGTGCTGACCGTGCGGCACGCGCCCGCCGACGCCGGCGACGGCCTTGTCCTCTTCGAGGTGAGCGGCGCGGAGGTTCGACCGCCGCCGTCGGCGCCGTCGTTGAAGTCGTCGTTGAAGCTCGGAGAGTTCGAAGCTTGAAGCTCCAGGCTGGAGGTTCGACGATCGAGGGGGACGTTGTCTGCTTGATCTGGCCCTCCGGGGGCGCCGACGCCGTCGCTTCGGGTTCTTCTGGGCGCTTCCGGATCTTCTCGTCTCGAAGAAGAACAAGCTGCACAAACAACGTGGAAAGTTGTGATCGTTTTCTTATTCATCGCTTTGCCAATCGGCGCGGGCCCTCGCACCCCCATTCCCCCCCCTATGTAGCAGATCTTGGCTGTTTTTGGTGCCTGTTTCAAGCATGTGAAGTCCCTCCCCCATCGGTCTCACTGGTGCAAGCCGTCGCATGGGGCGTGGCCTCTTCGTGAGAAGGCGGGGTACTGCCCATGGAGTGAGTGGTCTCGGAGGCCCTTCGGAGGGGCCTCCTGGAGGGCGGAGGAGGAGGAGGAGGAGGAGGAGGAGGAGGAGGAGGAGGAGGAGGAGGAGGAGGAGGAGGAGGAGGAGGAGGAGGAGGAGGAGGAGGTGGCGGGGATGCTCAGCAGCGCTCGTTCCCCCTCGGGCTTCTGAGAGGGCCGCCCCCCGTCGCGCCACTTTCTTCCCAATCATCCTGTGGTGCTGGGTCCTCGTTTTGAAGAGGGCGCTCCTCGTTCCTCCTCTCCTCCTTTTCCCCCTCCTTCTCCTCCTCCTCCTCCTCTTCCTCCTCCTATCCCTGCCTCTGTCCAAGGACAGCGACAGGGTTCGCATGGCCCCAGCGACAGGGTCCGCATGGCGGCGCCGCCCAATCTTGGCACACCCCTCACACGGTTCGTGGCCCCACATGGAGCTCCACCGAAGGCCTCAGAGGCAGGGTTCGCATGATGGCGCCGTCCCATTTGGCACACTTCTCAAACGGTTCGTGGCCCCACAGGGAGCTCCACCGAAGGCCCAGTGGCATGGTTCGCATGGCGGCGCAGCCCCATCTTGGCACACCCCGCACACGGTTGGTGGCCCCACAGGGAGCTCCACCAAAGGCCCGAGTGGCAAGATTCGAATGGCGGCTCCGCTCCATTTTGGCACACTTCTCACACGAACCGTGGTCGCATTTGGAATTGCCTCTTTTTCGTCTCACCTGCCTTGCAGTACTATGGTTGGGTCCTTCGGAATGGTAGTTTTTATGCGTTGGCCTTACATAAGCATTGAGGCTTTTGCTTTCTTCAGGTGGCTAAGACTTAGCGACGCGCGCACACGAATTAAGGTTGTCGCGCTCTTCTTCTTCTTCTTCTTCTTCTTCTTCCTCTTCTTCTTCCTCCTTCTCCTCCTCCTCCTCTTCCTCCTCCTCCTCCTTCTTTTCCGTCCCGCTTGGCGTGCCTCCGAGAGGTGGCGGAGATGTGGGCTAGCTTCGGGCCGGAGCTGGAGGTGCTCCGTCGGCGCGTGCTGTCCGACACGCGCCGCGCGGTGATGCCCTGCATCGTCAGGACTATACGTTCCGGGGAGTTCTTCCGGCGGTGCTCGGCGATCGACGTTCGATACGTACCGATGCTGCTGCCCCCCACGCTGGGCGCCAGGAGGAGAAGGGTGTGGCTGAACAGCTCGGCACCTGGGGCAGGATTCCTGTCCATGCCCCCACTCTGGCCCCATGACGGGAGGGGCGTGAGCATGGGGTTGGATAGAGCGTCGATCGCCCAGGTACGATCTGGACCTGGTGAGACTTTGGGTCAAGCAGATGGACCTGCGGATCTTTCGGCCAGGCGACCTGATCTTCAAGGAGAAGAGGCAGAGCGACGCGATGGCTGTGCTCTTCAGCGGCACGATGGACATCTCCGTGCAGGACAGCCCGGAGTGGTCTTGCCCTCTTTTGCGCTCCGTTCCTCTTCCGCTGCAGTTCACCTTCGACCTCCGCTTCGCCCTTTTTTCCTCCTCCCTTCCTTTCCCTCTCCCTCTCGCCGTCTCCCGCACCCTATCGCTCCCCCTCTCCCTCTCTCCACCCTGTCCTGCGGCTTGTGCCTTCTTCGCTCTTCTCCTCTCCTTCTCCTGCACACGACCTGATGCTACCTTTTTTCCCAGCCCTCATGCGGTTTTGGGTTCTCATTCTGAAGCGGCAGCGCCCAGCGTTCCCTCCTTCTTCCCCCGTCCCCTTCACCCGTGCTTCTGCTTCCTGCACACCGCACGTCCTTGTCGGCACACCCCTCACACGTTTGGTGGCCCCGTTGAGAGCTCCACAGAAGGCCCCAGTGGCTGCGTCCACATGCGGTTCCTCGCCCGCCGCATACCCATGTCGGCAGGCCCCTCACACGTATCGTGGCCCCGTAGGGAGCTCCTCCGAAGGCCCCAGTGCTGCGTCCACATGCGATTCCTCGTCCACCGCATGTTCATGTTGGGACGCCTCTCACACGTTTTGTGGCCCCGTTGGGAGCTCCACCGAAGGCCCCAGTGGCTGCGACCACATGCGGCTCCTCACCTACCGCATGTCCACCTCGGCACACCCCTTACACGTTTGTGGCCCCGTAGGGAGCTCCAGCGAAGGCCCCAGCGGCTGCGTCCACATGCGGTTCCTCGCTCACCGCGTGTTCATGTCCGCACGCCCCTCACACGTTTCGTGGCCCCGTCGGGAGCTCTACCGAAGGCCCCAGTGGCTGCGTCCACATGTGGTTTCTCGCCCACCGCATGTTCATGTCGGCGCACCTTTCACGCGATTCGTGGCCCCGTAGGAAGCTAGAAAGAAGGATCCAGTTGTTGCGTCCAAATGCGGTTTCTCGCCCACCGCATGTCCATGTCGGCACACCCCTCTCGCGTTTCGTGGCATAGGGAGCTCCACCGAAGGCTCCAGTGGCTGCGTCCACGTGCGGTTCCTCACCCACCGCATGTCCATGTCGGCGCACCTTTCACGCGATTCGTGGCCCCGCAGGGAGCTCCACCGAAGGCCCCAGTGGCTGCGTCCACATGCGGTTCCTCGCCCACCGCACGTCCATGTCGGCACGCCCCTCACACGTTTCGTGGCCCCGTAGGGAGCTCCACCGAGGGCTCCAGTGGCTGGGTCCACATGCAGCTCCTCGCCTACCGCACGTCCACATCGGCACACGCGTTTCGAGGTAGGGAGCTCTACCGAAGGCCTCAATTGCAGAGTCCACATGCAGTTTCTCGCCCACAGCATGTTCATGTCGGCA